ACTAGAACTGAACTAGAACTGAACTAGAACTGAACTAGAACTGAACTAGAACTGAACTAGAACTGAACTAGAACTGAACTAGAACTGAACTAAACTGAACTAGAAATGAACTAGAACTGAACTAGAACTGAACTAGAACTGAACTAGAACTGAACTAGAACTGAACTAGAACTGAACTAGAACTGAACTAGAACTGAACTAGAACTGAACTAGAACTGAACTAGAACTGAACTAGAACTGAACTAGAACTGAACTAGAACTGAACTAGAACTGAACTAGAACTGAACTAGAACTGAACTAGAACTGAACTAGAACTGAACTAGAACTGAACTAGAACTGAACTAGAACTGAACTAGAACTGAACTAGAACTGAACTAGAACTGAACTAGAACTGAACTAGAACTGAACTAGAACTGAACTAAACTGAACTAGAACTGAACTAGAACTGAACTAGAACTAGAACTGAACTAGAACTGAACTAGAACTGAACTAGAACTGAACTAGAACTGAACTAGAACTGAACAAACTGAACTAGAACTGACTGGAAACTGAAAATAGAACTAAAATAGAACCGAATTAGAATTGAACTAAACCAAATTTGAACTAGAATTGAACTAGTTTAGTGAAGTAGAATTGAATTAGAATTTATTATGATAATAAAGCTTGCGACCAAAATCGAATGGCTTAGTTATTCAACCAAAGATTCAATCACATGACGCCTCATCACCCAAAAATCATCCACAACCTGCAGTGCCCATATGTTTTTCTATACTCCTAATCCCCCTCTGTGATATAAAAACAAACACTAATTTACTAAAATTTTCCATATTCTAAACAAATTTACCAAAGTCAAAATATATTAATTAACTTAAGACTAAAATTATTTATTTTTATTTTTAAAATTGAGGCTAAAAAATAGTATAAACATATAGTAATGAAAAGTTTTTAAATTTTATTTTCCATTTCAGAAAAACATATTAAAAAATATTTTTATACAAATATTTAAACATGGGCATTTAGCCAGAAAATTCGCATTTTTATTTATACATTGTTTAAAAGAAGCCAACATTTTTTTTTCTTCTAAACAAACAATTAAATTGTTAAATGTAATAACTACTATTAATGATAAAAATGTCAAAATTTTTGACATTTATTAAAAGATTTTTTCAGTAAAAGTGTTTACATAAATTAGAAGCATAGATTTTAGTATTTTTTGTGATTTGAAAACTTTTTTGTTTGATGTTTATAATTGTTCCACTTAAAATAAAAAATATTTTATTTTATTTATTTGAAGCTTTTTGTAGATCTGTTTAATTTTAGGTGCCATTCATAATGTCAGATGAGTGATTTTAATAAAAAGTGATTTCTTTTTTAAATTGAACTGATAATATTGGGAAAAATCTAAATAAATTTGAAAAATTTTAAATTCGATGAGGTTCCCGAATATTCCTCAATTTAAAACACCTCACATTCTCTTCAATTGCAACAAATTATATAATTTAAAAGAATTCAACATTTTCATCATTTAACAAAAAATGTCATATTTAACCCAGAAATCATATTAAGATTCACCCTACTTATTTTATTAATAAACATTTCTATGTCACAAAATTCAACATGTGTATTTTGCAAAAACAAAAAAAAAAAAAAAACTCAACGCAAATTCTTTATTACGCGTGGTCTGCGGAAATTTAAATTAATTCAACAAAAATATCAACCAACAACCACTTTCCTCACAATTAAACAAATTTACCCCAGAATCTCCCCATAAAGCCCCAACAACAACAATTCATTGTTTTCTCGTCATTTGTGCAACATTTAATTAGTGTTTAAAAAATTTTAAAAAGTAATAAACTTTTTGAGATTTTTGAAATCTTCAAAAACATATGTATGTATATTCACTTTCATAAAAGGTCACAGTTTTTATAAGTATTTACACTGTCTGTGTTATTATAGTGTTATTTAAAAAAATATATAATGTTTTTTATTCATACTTTGTACTTTTATTTTTGTAAGTTTTTTGTTCGAATTTAAAATTCAAGTGCAAGGTTTTTCTTTATGTTAAAAAAATCGAAAAAGTTCTGTGGCCGCATAACATTTTTTAAACATATGTGTTGTGCGCTCTGTTGTAAATCAAGTTAAATGTGATTTAAAGGGTTGCCAAGTGATCAAGTTGTGGCAAAATCAAAAGGGGAAATAATGAAAAAAAACTTAATATTAAAGTTTAGTCTATAGAGTAGACTACAAACTAGACTACTGACTATATTACTGTCTAGACTAATGACTAGCCTATAGACTAAACTGTAGACTAAACTATAGACCAGACTATAGACCAGACTATAGACTAGACTATAGACTAGACTATAGTCTAGACTACAGATTAGACTATAAACTAGACTACACACTAGACAATAGACTAAACTATAGACTAGACTAAAGACTAGACAATAGACGAAACTATATACTAGACTATAGACCAGACTATAGACTAGATTATAGACTAGACTATAGACTAGACTATAGACTAGACTATAGACTAGACTATAGACTAGACTATAGACTAGACTATAGACTAGACTGTAGACTAGACTATAGACTAGACTATAGACTAGACTATAGACTAGACTATAGACTAGACTATAGACTAGACTATAGACTAGACTATAGACTAGACTAGACTATAGACTAGACTATAGACTAGACTATAGACTAGACTATAGACTAGACTATAGACTAGACTAGACTATAGACTAGACTATAGACTAGACTATAGACTAGACTAGACTATAGACTAGACTAGACTATAGACTAGACTAGACTATAGACTAGACTAGACTATAGACTAGACTAGACTATAGACTAGACTAGACTATAGACTAGACTATAGACTAGACTATAGACTAGACTATAGACTAGACTATAGACTAGACTATAGACTAGACTATAGACTAGACTATACTAGACTATAGACTAGACTATAGACTAGGCTATAGACTGGACTATAGACTAGGCTATAGACTAGACTATAGACTAGGCTATAGACTAGACTATAGACTAGGCTATAGACTAGACTATAGACTAGGCTATAGACTAGACTATAGACTAGGCTATAGACTAGACTATAGACTAGGCTATAGACTAGACTATAGACTAGGCTATAGACTAGACTATAGACCTCGGATACCTCAGTATTTTTCGACATTTGTGTATTTTAAAGAAAATTTACAATAAAATTTATATTCATAACAATCTTTTCTAAAATCTCTTATTTGTTTTCCCTCACTCTTTCGAAATAACCCTATTCTATAGACTAGACTATAGACTAGACTAGGCTATAGACTAGACTATAGACCAGGCTATAGACTAGACTATAGACTAGGAAATAGACTAGACTATAGACTAGGCTATAGACTAGACTATAGACTAGGCTATAGACTAGACTATAGACTAGGCTATAGACTAGACTATAGACTAGGCTATAGACTAGACTATATACTAGGCTATAGACTAGTAGGGTGATCGACTCGATTTTTCAACCGGTTTTAAAACCGGTTTTTTTCTGCTTTACCAGTGTCGGTTTTTTCTTAATGTTGATTTTTCGAATATCGAATAACCCGGTTTTTTCACTTTTTAAAAACCGGTTTCGAATACTTTTATTTGCTTTGTATTCAAAGATTATTTAAATGAAATTTTTAAGTAAATAATAATACAGCCCGCCTAAATTTTAAAAATATTCGAGTCGAGGAGCTAGCGTATATTTTTCTAAAGCTCCTTTAGTTAAACTTTTTTGATTTTCCTAATTAATTAAAAAAAATTTATTTGTAAAATTGATAACTATTTGATCTTAAGATTATATTCCAATTACAATAATTAATTTACGGCTGAAATTTTATGGAAGTGTTGGAATGCCTATGCAAATTTCCTAAACAGGGCTTTTAAAATAAGCTATGATTACCTTATGTTTAACAGAAGTGTCCCACTTTTTTCCTAATTTTTTTATATTAAAGAAATAATGTAAATCAGACGACTAGATCTAAAGTTATAATCTTTTAAACTGTTAAAAATCATTTCGGGCCATGTTTTATTAATCAAATTTAAACATAAACATTAAGTTTTTCAAATTAAAATATGTTTTTTATTTATAATGAAAAACCGGTTAACCGGTTTTTTCTGAATTTGAAAAATATCAACCGGTTTTTTTTAAATGTCAACTATTCGAACTATTCGAAAACCGGTTTTTGGAAAATGTCGAATAATCGATCACCCTATAGACTAGACTATAGACTAGGCTATAGACTAGACTATAGACTAGTATACCTCAGTATTTTTCGACATTTGTGTATTTAAAGAAAATTTGCAATAAAATTTATATTCATAAAAATCTTTTCTAAAATCTCTTATTTGTTTTCCCTCACTCTTTCGAAATAAACCTATCTTTGGCAACTCTTTTGTGTATTTTTTTCAAATGGTTTCATTTTCTATACTTTTAAAGCAAATTTATTTTTACTTTCTAATAAAAGATTTCAATTTCGTTGATGCACAAAAAATGCAAAAAGTTGGCAAACATTTTTAAAATTTAATTAAACAAAAAAAAAAAAAAAAAAAAAACAAATAAAAGTCACACACTAGAATTTTATGTTATATTTAATTTAAACTGTAATAAACGTAATTGCAAATGATATATTAAGAACTAAAGCATATAATTTTAGTGTTATATGTCAAAAAGTGGTTTAAAAATATGTATTTTTAAAATTGTTTATAAATAATTATATAATTTTTAAATTAGTTTGCCAAAACTGTGTAGAGTAAAGTAACTACAGCTAGGATTCTGTTTTATTTCGTATTATCTATTTAGAAAATTTAAACCGTTGATTCCAAATTCCAAATAAACAAACTAATTTATTAATAATCTAAAAAAACATATACTAATATAAACAAATGCTTCTAATTTAACTAATAGTTGTAATAATAATATTTTATTTTTCTGTTATTGTTTTCAGCGTGTCTTTGTCTAACTGTCTCATCAGCAAGTGCCTCTGAAGAGCACTGGGGTTATCCAGATTATAGTAAAAACGAAGGTAATATTATTCGTTAAAGTTTATACACACATACATACTTACAATGTAATTTTATTATAATTTATTATTATGGCGTTTATGGAGCAGTGTGCAAATAATCACTTTCTACCTCTCTAATATTTGCAAAATAAGAACGAAATCTAAATTTCGAATATATGACAACAAATGGACACAAATACTTCATGGAAAGCATGTCAAGAAAATTGCACAGTATTTTAGATTAATTGAAAAATATGATATTAGTTAAGATTAAAATAAATTTATGAATTTGGACAAAATTTCTGGATTTTAAATGGAAAGAATTAATATTAATTTTAGCATTGAAATCTTTATTTAAATTAAAAACTTTGAAAAAAAATTGACTAGACTATAGACTGCACTACTGACTAGACTACTATAGACTAGACTATAGACTAGACTATAGACTAGACTATAGGCTAGACTATAGACTAGACTATAGACTATACTATAGACTAGACTATAGACTAGACTATAGACTATACTATAGACTAGACTATACTATAGACTAGACTATACTATAGACTAGACTATAAACTAGACTATAGACTAGACTATAAACTAGACTATAAACTAGACTATAGACTAGACTATAGACTATACTATAGACTAGACTATACTATAGACTAGACTATACTATAGACTAGACTATAAACTAGACTATAGACTAGACTATAAACTAGACTATAAACTAGACTATAGACTAGACTATAGACTAGACTATAGACTAGACTATAGACTAGACTATAGACTAGACTATAGACTAGACTATAGACTAGACTAGACTATACTATAGACTAGACTATAGACTAGACTATAGACTAGACTATAGACTAGACTATAGACTAGACTAGACTATAGACTAGACTACAGACTTGACTATAGACTAGACTATAGACTAGACTATAGACTAGACTATAGACTAGACTAGACTATAGACTAGACTACAGACTTGACTATAGACTAGACTATAGACTAGACTATAGACTAGACTATAGACTAGACTATAGACTAGACTATAGACTAGACTATAGACTAGACTATAGACTAGACTATGGACTAGACTATAGACTAGACTATAGACTAGACTATAGACTAGACTATAGACTAGACTATAGACTAGACTATAGACTAGACTATAGACTAGACTATAGACTAGACTATAGACTAGACTATAGACTAGACTATAGACTAGACTATAGACTAGACTATAGACTAGACTATAGACTAGACTATAGACTAGACTATAGACTAGACTATAGACTAGACTATAGACTAGACTATAGACTAGACTATAGACTAGACTATAGACTAGACTATAGACTAGACTATAGACTAGACTATAGACTAGACTATAGACGACTATAGACTAGACTATAGACTAGACTATAGACTAGACTATAGACTAGACTATAGACTAGACTATAGACTAGACTATAGACTAGACTATAGACTAGACTCAAATTCAAATTGTGGTCTAATTTCTAAACACTGTGCCTGAGTTTCTATAAAGATAAATCGAGTAATTTGTGTATTAAAAGTGTCACGATTATCATTCATTTCTTTACTTTTAAAAGAATTTAACTAAATTACTTAATGACCATAAACACTTTTAAAGTAGAAAAGTAAGAAAAACTAGTATTTGGCACACAAATTTATTAATATTTTCAAAGAATAACAATAGCTTTGTATTTCACTTCTTTAGAATTTCCTCACTGGGGTGGCATGTGCGATAAAGGTAAACGTCAATCACCCATTAATTTGAGCCTTAGAGGAGCCGTCAAGGGAGTTTATGATAAACTAGAAGGTGAAAATTATGACCAGACCATAACACAAGCGGCCTTGGTTAATACAGGACACTCGGGTAAGTAAACAAAAAATGGCAATTATTTCCTAAAAATATAATTAAATTTTTTTCTTTTAAACTATAGTACAACTATTCAATTTCGATTTGAAGTTAAAGTTGAAGGGCGGTCCCTTAAAGAATGACTACGTTTTGGAGCAGATACATTTCCATTGGTGGTCCGAGCATACCATTGACAATATCCGTTATCCTTTTGAAATGCACATGGTACATCGTAATGTTAAATATGAAAATATGACTGTGGCCGCTCAAAATAAGGATGGCATTACAGTGGTGGGCGTTTTATATCATGCCTCGATGGAGAGAAACGAAGCTATTGATGATATTTTAGATGATTTCGATAAGATTAAGGATTACGATGACATCAATAAACCCATTAATATTGAGACTAAATTTGAGATTGAAGATCTTTTGCCAGAAATCAGAAATTATATTATCTATGAGGGTTCATTGACCACACCCACTTGTGCAGAAGCTGTAACATGGATTGTTATGGCAGAAACTTATCCAGTGACCATTGATCAGGTAATTATTTGGGGAACCCTATTATCTAGAAAGTTATAAAGTAAATTTTATCTCTAGCGAAAGTTTTAAAAACTATAATTATCCCCTCAATTCCTTAATATATAAGTAATTCAAATTGTTATTAATATCTTGCTACAGGTTGAAGCTTTCAAAAATCTACAATACGATCAGGGCAAAAACTTAGTCAATAACTATCGTGCTATACAACAAACCAATAATCGTGCCATTATTGTTGCCTCCAATGACAACCGTTCGGGAGCTGCTACATTCAGTCTACAAACCTCTCTATTCAGTGTTATTTTGATGACAGTTTTGGCTAAATATTTGTACTAATTATTGGCAAACTTTACTGAAAAATTAAGCTCAAACGTTTAACAAAAAGCTCTCTTATTATCTAATAACCAAAGAAAAAAAAACTAAATAATTAGCAACTAATTTATGTGTAGTATGTATTTGCTGTTGTTCCTTTATTTTTGTGTGTAGTTTAAGGGTAATCACAGTTGGTGTCTAGCAATTACCAAAACATCCTATAACCTTGAGATTAAAAAGCTTTTTAAAAAAAAGCTAGAAATCTATAACAGCTTAATACTATTTTAAAAGTATTTTGCATTTATTTGAAAAAAAAAAAATCGTTACTTGGTGCTACACAATATTTTACCACCCAAAATTTATAAAAATGTTGATCATTCATTTATAAAATATTCATTTGAATTCAAAGCTGGCTTTGATTACTCTTATATTTTTGTAATAATTTATATATTTTTTTTTAAAAAACTTGCATTTTTATTATTATCATAATTTTATGTCTCCAATATATTGTTCATAAACATCGATTATTTTTATATAACAAAAAAATTAACTAAAAAAATACCTATTATATTTATTTCTTGTCTTAAGTGTTGTAGTTTATAAAATGTAACGAAATTTTTATTTTTTGAAAAAAATAAAAATTATTAAGTTTTAACTAGTCAATCAATCAATTGCTGTATATTGAATGTAATAAATTGAAAAATATAAAAATATATGTTAACGTTATGAAACTAATAAAATTAGCTAAATAAAGTTACAGAATAAACTTACAAATTGATGTTTTATTACATTTGTTAAAGTTAATTTATATATAAAGTTTTGGAATCAGAACTGATCATAACGATCAAGTTATGTATGTGTATAGAACTTTTCAAAACTAGTGAATCCATTTTGTAATGTTTGATAAAAATAAATATGCCAAATATTTTTCAAATGCAGATCTATTTGCTATCGTTTGGCTAGCCAAACTTGAACATTTCGTTTTTAAGTACGGTGTTATTGTTATCATTTTGTTTTAAATTTTCTGTCAAAAACACTGTTCAATGTTTGAATAGAAAAAAACGAGCATACTTTTAGGCATAAATATGAAAGATCATTTTCTTGCACTAACATAGGCAATTAATTTTATTGTTTTGAAGTTCAAAAATAAACGTCAATTAAATAGTATGAATAAAATCTGCTAAAGGAAGTAGGTTTTGTAATAATTGTAAAGTAAGAAGGACTAATCGGCTACTTTAAAGGCATTTATTAGGTAGTTTGAAAGGAGGATGTATATAAACATATGTACATCAAATCCGAAGAAATACACCTAGACCTCTATTGAGCCTGTTATGAGCTTCTTAACTAGGCTTTCAAATTGGAATCGAACCCACCATCTCTAGTCTAGTCTATACCAGACTAAAACACTAACCCTAACCTACCGAAGACCACAATTACTTAGTTAGTTAGTTAGATAGATAGATAGACAGACAGACAGATAGATAGATAGATAGATAGATAGATAGATAGATAGATAGATAGATAGATAGATAGATAGATAGATAGATAGATAGATAGATAGCTAGATAGATAGATAGATAGATAGATAGATAGATAGAGAGATAGATAGATAGATAGATAGATAGATAGATAGATAGATAGATAGATAGATAGATAGATAGATAGATAGATAGATAGATAGATCGATAGATAGATAGATAGATAGATAGCTCGCTCGCTCCCTCGCTCGCTCCTCGCTCGCTCGCTCTCGCTCGCTGCTCGCTCGCTCGCTCGCTCGCTCTCGCTCGTCTCGCTCGTCGCGGTCGTCTGTCGCTCGCTCGCTCGCTCGCGCTCGCTCGCTGCTCGCTCGCTCCCTCGCTCGCTCGCTCGCTCGCTCGCTCGCTCGCTCGCTCGCTCGCTCGCTCGCTCGCTCGGTCGTCGTCGCTCGCTCGCTCGCTCGCTCGCTCGCTCGCTCGCTCGCCTCGCTCGCTCGCTCGCTCGCTCCTCGCTCGCTCGCTCGCTCGCTCGCTCGCTCGTTCGTTCGTTCGTTCGTTCGTTCGTTTCGTTCGTTCGTTCGTTCGTTCGTTCGTTCGTTCGTCGTTCGTTCGTTCGTTCGTTCTTTCGTTCGTTCGTTCGTTCGTTCGTTCGTTCTTCGTTCGTTTCGTTCGTTCGTTCGTTCGTTCGTTCGTTCGTTCGTCGTTCGTTCGTTCGTTCGTTCGTTTCGTTCGTTCGTTCGTTCGTTCGTTCGTTCGTTCGTTCGTTCGTTCGTTCGTTCTTCGTTCGTTCGTTGTTCGTTCGTTTCGTTCGTTCGTTCGTTCGTTCGTTTTGTTCGTTCGTTCGTTCTTCGTTTCGTTCGTTCGTTCGTTCGTTTCGTTCGTTCTTCGTTCGTTCGTTCGTTCGTTCGTTTCGTTTCGTTCGTTCGTTCGTTCGTTCTTCGTTCGTTCGTTTTTCGTTCGTTTTCGTTCGTTCGTTCGTTCGTTCGTTCGTTCGTTTCGTTCGTTCGTTCGTTCGTTCGTTCGTTCGTTCGTTCGTTCGTTTCGTTCGTTCGTTTCGTTCGTTCGTTCGTTCGTTCGTTCGTTCGTTCGTTCGTTTTTCGTTCGTTCGTTCGTTTCGTTCGTTCGTTCGTTCGTTCGTTCGTTCGTTCGTTTCGTTCGTTCGTTCGTTCGTTCGTTCGTTTCGTTCTTCGTTCGTTCGTTCGTTCGTTCGTTCGTTCGTTCGTTCGTTCGTTCGTTCGTTCGTTCGTTCGTTCGTTCGTTCGTTCGTTCGTTCGTTCGTTCGTTCGTCTTCGTTCGTTCGTTCGTTCGTTCGTTTTCGTTTTCGTTCGTTCGTTCGTTCGTTCGTTCGTTCGCCTCTCTTTTCGTCTCCCTCTCGTCCTCGTCTCGTCTTCGCCCCTCTCTCGTCTGTCTCGTCTCCCGTCCCCTCTCTCTCGCCTTGTCTTCGTCCGGTCTGTCGTGGTCTCTTGTCTGCCTGTCGTCTCTTTTGTCTCTCCTCTTTCCCCTTTTATCTCTATTGGATATTTTCTCAGTCGAAACGAAATCAACTTAGATTTCGTTTCGACCTCAATATTAAAATTGCGCATTAACCTGAATAATTTTAGTCTAGTATATAGTCTAGTCTATAGTCTATAGTCTAGTCTATAGTCTAGTCTATAGTCTAGTCTATAGTCTGGTCTATAGTCTAGTCTATAGTCTAGTCTATAGTCTAGTCTATAGTCTAGTCTATAGTCTAGTCTATAGTCTAGTCTATATTCTAGTCTATAGTCTAGTCTATAGTCTAGTCTATAGTCTAGTCTATAGTCTAGTCTATAGTCTAGTCTATAGCCTAGTCTATAGTCTGTCTATAGTCTAGTCTATAGACTAGTCTTTAGTTCAGTCAATAGTCTACACTATATATTAGTCTATAGTCTAGTCAATAGTCTAGTCTTAGTCCAGTCTATAGTTTAGTCTATAGTCTAGTCTACAGTCCAATCTATAGTTTAGTCTATAGCCTAGTCTTAGTCTGGTCTATAGTAGTTAATTGTCTAGACTCTAGTCTATTTTGTCTATAATATTTAGAAAATTTTATCTATAATGGATATATTCTCAGTCTAAGTTGATTTCGTTTCGACCTAAATAATTAAAATTGCAGAAACATTAACACTGAATAAATCTTAAGTTTTTCTAATTCCCAACTAATCTCGACCAACATTTCTTAAACTACAACAAATTTTATATTTCCCCTATAACAAAATTATAAATTCATAATATAAAATACAAAATCTTAGACAAAATGCAATGAAAAAGATGCCCAATTGTTTTTAAAAACCTTCAGTTACAATTTCCCAATACTAATAAATCAAATCGAAAATTTGTGAAGCGGTCAATGTTTTTTTAAATTTTAATATAAATTTCTTTGTTTTAGTGAATTTTTGGGGCCGGTTAAAACGTAATTAATGTGTCAAATTCTACTTCCGAAAATCGTAAACTTAATTAAATTGCTGATTGTTTTATGATCTTTCTCACGCTAAATTATCATCAATCCAACAAATGAGAGACAAAATATTTGAACTTAAATATAAACATTTTATTAATGTTTAAACGAGTTGTTTATATTAATAAATAATACAAATAAATAAAAACAACAACAACAATTTAAAACAAACAAAATGTTAGCTGTTTTAGATACATAGATTTCAATCTTATTTATTGTTTTATTTGTTAATTTACATTTGATCAAACGAGTCGCGTTTGTTAAAAAGTGAATTCGTTGGGTGCGTTAAATGAATTTCAAATTAAGTCACCTGTCGTCCGTCTTTTAATCAAGAAAGAGAGTAGAGAGCGTGTGTTTTTTCTATTTCAATAAGAGTAATTTATTTATACCAGCATTTCTATTTTTATTGAAAACAACTAACTGTTATTTTAACATTCATAGATTGAAAGTTAGATAAATTTGTTTATATTTGAAAAAACATTCTTTTAGCTTAAATTGTTTGTATTTTAAAATTTATTATTTCATTTTATATTTTGAATCATAACATTTCTTTGGAAAGGTGTCAAACCACTTAATGATTATGATTTGTAAATTTTTTTTTTTTAATATTTGTATCAATCTTTCACTTTTTTGTAATTTAATGATGATGACTGAAAATTTAAATTGATTGACTATTTTTTAATAGCAACAGTTTATTGTGTTATTAGTCTACTAAATTTAATCGCACAAATTTGCATAATTACTTTAAACTATCTTCGTCTTTATATTAAGATATCAATGAAAAGCCTTTTGGAATGTAAAATGTTGATGTTGTTCGTAATAAATTGTAAAAGTCTATGTAAAACATATTTGTTAATTTGTTAGAAATAACACTTGTATCTTTTGTAAATTTTATAATTTCGCTAAATTGTCTTCTGATCATTATGAAGACAATAGAAATTAAAGTTTGATGGAGAATAAAGATAACTGTAAGGTTGTGAAGAATTCGGAAATTATGTTGGGTTAAGGTTGATAATGTTGTTTGAGAAACTAACGGACTGAGTGAGTTAGTGCGGATCATACTAAGTAACTACTAACTAACTACTAACTAACTAACTAACTAACTAACTACTAACTAACTAACTAACTAACTAACT